AAAAAAAAAAAAAAAAGCAACTATGATTGAATCACTTGAGAGTGAGTCTACGCCCAATTTATAAGGAAGAAAAACACCAAAATTAAAAAAATCCAGTTATCCTAGCCAGATTACTCCTATAGAAACATGAATAGAGAGAACAGGGATTCTGAAGCATCGCACAGCTTGACTTCTCACCTCATCCTACATATAGCACGTTAAGTCAATAGCACCCTAATTCCTGTTTCAGCTGTTTCAGAACTTGGGTACTAATATACATTGATCCACAAATCTATACAGGGTATGGGACAGTACTCAACCTAAAAGCTGCTAAGAAGAAAACTCTTGGTATTTACACACTCAGAAAAAGGTTCAATGCAATGGTGTTACTAATCTATATTTTGAGTCAGACCAACACAATGTTACTAACTCCCAGTCGATAAAGAAACATTAATTCATTAGTAACAAAACCTACTTTTGTATAGCGATGGGGGGATCTGGAGGTCGGCAGCTTCTTCAGGTCAAGGAAAGCATCTCCATTTTCTGTTTCACTGACACTCACACTTCTCCTATCCATGGCTTCTTAGTCTACAATTTTTTTGCACCTGGAAGATAAATCAATACAAAATTATTACAGAAAACAGGAAGTTTTCATGGGTCTTGATTGCTTTAAGAAATATTTTTGTTTTTAATTTGAAACAAACTAACCACCCTCCATCCCGTCTGAACCAGAATCAAACTGCAGACATAATGACTGAGACTTGGTAATCTCTCCTAGTAAAATGTACTAACCATCCACAGGGGAGGGAAAGCAGAAGTGGAAGGAACCCAACCTTTTAGCCAACTTTAATACAAAGAGCAGCCAAAACAGACGCTGAGACCTATGGTTGCCGATCAGATAGGGACAGAGATAGTTTCCCCAACAGTGTGGACAAGTAAGAGGACTGGGAAGAGCTGCGGATCCGGGCAGCCGGGTTGTCGTAGTAAAGTGCCTGTCATTTGTCAATGGAAGGCTCCAGCTGCCCCTTGTTAGCCGACGATCTGGAGCTGAGGACGGGACCCGAGCTCCCGGAGCCCAGCCGGCTTACACCTGTGGCCGTGTCAGGGATGTCTGTGGCAAGGAAAGGGTAAGCAGTGGCTCCAGCTCCGAAAGGCAGCTTCCCCAGACCAACCCCCGGCCCCTCGCGCAGGCCCTGGATGAGCGGCCTCCTTTGGAGGAAGGGCGGGGACCGTACTCACGGAAGGGAGGCGGGCCGGAGGGAGCACCAAGGCCGGATCGCCCAGCTCGAGTGCTTCGAGCTGGAGCTGGCGCAGGCCCGCCGCCCGTCTGTCTCGGCGGCTTAGGCCCCGCCAGCCTGCCCGCCGCCCGCCCCGTGAGCCTCGCGCCCCGGCCCACCCCCCGCGCGCGCCCCGGTTCCCGAGCTCTCGCACGCGACCCCGGAGCGACGCACTCGGGCTCCTGCTCCCCCACCCCTTTACCCCCTTCTAGGTCCAGCGCCCCGGACCCAGCCGGCCTGGGAGCCTTACTCGGTGCTCCTGCCGCTGGGCGGCCCTGCGTCTCGGCCGCCGTTCCCCTCCCCGCTGCCCGCGCGGGTCTCAGCGCTGCTCCCGGCGGCCTTCGCTCTCGGGGCAGCCCCCCCCCCTCCCCCCCCCCACACACACACACACACACACACACACCCGCTTGAACTGTCTCTCTTCAGCCGCCGTAACCACAGCCCGGCCCTCGACCCCGCCTCTCCTGCCCCTCCCCCTTAATAACTCCCAGCACGCACCGGGGCCCAGCGCGGCCTTTACCTCCGCGCGCCCGGGTGTGGGGTGGCTGCGGCGATGCCGGGCGGAAGAGAAAAACATCGCGGCCTCCTTGTAGGCGGACTCGGCCCGGGTGGAGAGGCAGAGGCGGGAGGGACGAGGTGGCTGGCGGGGAGGAGGTAGCCGTGGGGACGTCGGAAGCCCGAGCCCCGGCGCGCAGGCGATCGCCATGGACAGCCACTCGGAGGCGCTCGCGTTCCCACGCACAATGAAGGGGGCGGAGCTGTGCAGCGCCCGGCCCCGAGCTCCGCGCCACGCTGCGGTGCCCGGGAGCCCGCGGCCTAGTTGAGTCTGTCTTTGCGCCCTGGAGGCCCGGCCACTGTCCGGCCTTCCCCGTGGGGATCGGAGTTAGAGGAATTCAGCTGTGTTTAGTCTTAATTAGTGGTGTGATCTGATCTTCGCTATTCTTTCTGGAAAGGTCTGTAGGTTCTTGTGAGTAGATGAGTAGAGGTGGATGCATTAATAAACATTACCTGCAGAGGTTCGTGCATTAATAAAGGATACGCTTTGCGCTGATAAAGGCGACCGACAGATCCATTAAAGCGCTTTTTCTCCCTCACATAGTCTGAATCTTTCCCCTGGCATGCACTGGAAGGGGAAGTACAAATTTTTGGGGGCGTGAAATGAGATGGCGACTGTCGAGCGTTTACCCTGCGTGCAGAGACAACCTGGCCAAGGGGGGAGGGGAGATTATAAAAAACAAACCAACTGAAGAATTGCAGTGGGTTGCACGTGAACATCTCCTGTAGCACACAGGGGGTCTCTCCAAAACAGTGGTGAAGTGACTGGGGCAAGGGGAAGTTAAACAACAATGAAATCAGTCTTTGGTAATGCTTGTAGTCAAGACTTTGAGATTGGATGGCTACATTGTATAAAGAGAATCCATTGAAATCTTGTCTTTAAAAAGATCTACTCAGAAGCCGAGCGCCGGTGGCTCACTTCTGTAATCCTAGTTACTCAGGAGTCTGAGATAGGAGGATCATGGTTCAAAGCAGCCTCGGCAGGAAAGTCTTTATCTCCAATAAACCACCAGAAAAACGGAAGTGGCCCTGTGGCTCAAGTGAGGGTTGTGTACTCACCTTGAGTTGGAGAGCTGAGGGACCACGTCCAGGCCCAGAGTTCAAGCACCATGACCAAACCTAGCATGCATGAAGCCCTGGGTTCGATTCCTCCATACCACATACACAGAAAAACCAGAAGTGGTGCTGTGGTTTAGGTGGTAGAGTGCTAGCCTTGAGCAAAAGGAGTAGAATTTAGGGACTAGCACCCAGACCCAGAGTTCAAGCTCCAGGACTGGCCAAAAAAGCCTTATATAAACACAGTTGTCAATTTCTTTGGGGGGGAGGGGAGGAATATTTAAAGACAATTTTGAGAGACCTTGTAGGTGATGAAAGCAAATAGTTGTTATTTTAAAAACAAGTTTCCTGGGTTAGATATGGAACTTTATAGTAAAGCACCTTGCCTAGGAGGCTGGAAGCTCTAGGTTTGATCCTACGCACTGCACACACACACACACACACACACACACACACAAACAAGCTTTCTTTGGAATTTTGAGCTCTTCCCCAAGATTGAGAGGAATAGCTCAAACCTCCTTGCCATTATACAGTTTAGGAGAAAGTATGTATTGTTTTGTCTGTGGTGCTAGGGATTGAATCTTGGGCCTTAAGCATACTAGGTCAAGGCTATACTACTCAGCCAAGTACCCAGCCCACAGAAGGCTACTTTTGAAGCTATTAAGTCCTGGCTCTGCTACTTAGTCTGAAATCTGACCCAGGTATTTCATCATTCCAGACATCACCTCATTTGTCAGAAAAGGATACCAGAATCTACTTTTCAGGTTTGTAGAAGGAATAACAAAAAACACTAAAAATTTTGGGCACTATGGATTTTGCTGAATCATAGAGCATGTATTCAGTATTTACAAGGGCCTACCTTTAAATCTCCTGTACTATCACCCCTAAAACTTCTGATCTGGTTTTCTCTTGCTGTGTAACAAGCCACCCCAAAACTCAGACTTAGCCCAGTACTTATTTTGCTTGCAAACTTGCAAATTAGGCTGAGAAAGGTGGTCTCTGCTGCATTTAGCATCAGCTGGAGCAGCTCAAAGGTTCACTTCCACATTTGGTAGTTGAAGGTGGCTGTCAGCTGGAACCACTGGAGCTTTGGCTGGAATGCTTATACATGGCTGAACGTTGGCAGGTAATAGTTGCTGCATTGCCTTCTTAGCACTGATGTCACTCAGAGTGAGTCCTGTCATATGACACATTCTGTTCCTTAGAAATGACTCCAGAAAGCTGGCATATACTCAAAGAAAAATGATTTAGGTGATCCTTTTATATGGGAGAAATGTCAAAGAACTTGGGAGTCTGCTTTAAAACTAACACAAGCCATATGTGATATGAAATCAGCGCTCAAGACTTTGTAAGCTATGTCAATTTTTGCCTGAAACCAATTTCCCTAGACCCCATATCTAGTTAGGTTCTTCAGATGTCTTCGAGAACCAGTCTGTGTTGGATCTTGTAAAAGAAGATCATTACCTTGTAGGACTGAAGATAATTAAGGAAGGGTACACATGAACCTTCACCTTTAGCTTCCTTCAAATGAAGATGCAAAAGCTAGATGCTTGCTAATCCTTGTTTTATTGTAGCTTTTACATGTTACTCTTCTAAGCATGAGTAGCAATTTGTACTTATATATGCCCTCTTTTGCAACTAATAATTTCCAAATGTCAGTATAGGAAACTCTTAAAATGAAAGAAAGCATGCTAGTACTTTATGAATATTTGCAGGATCTTGATTTGGGGTCAAATTGTAGATTCAACGTTTGGCATAAGGTGACTCAAAGATTGAGGAAATTATCAGTTCAAGAATCCTAGAGAGGGGCTGGGAGGGTGGCTTAGTGGTAGAGCGCTTGCCTTGTATGCATGAGGCCCTGGGTTCGATTCCTCAGCACCACATAAGCAAAAAAGAAAAAAACTGGAAGTGGCGCTGTGGCTCAAGTGGTAGAGCACTAGCCTTGAGCTGAAGAGCTGAAGGGCAGCACCCAGGCCCAAAGTTCAGACCCCACGAACGGACCAAAAAAAAAAAAAAGAATCCTAGAGAGGGCTGGGAATGTGGCTTAGTTGTGGCTCAAGTGATAGAGTATTAATCTTGAGCAAAAGAAGCTCAGGGATAGTGCCTAGCCCCTGTTCAAGCCCCATGTCTGGCAAAAAAAAAAAAGAATCATAGAGAAGAACATGTAAATATTACAAACAACCTAGAAATTAACCAGAACACATATGAGCATTTGCTCCCAGGCCTATACCGATAGCAGCCTAATCTTAGTTGGTTGTGATTACATTTTTCTAAAAGGATCGTTCCAACTCAGTTTGTCTTGCTTCAAGGATAATCCCTAGTTCCAACCAACTAGGATTTGAGAAGGTTTACAGTTGTCATCTTATTTTCTCAGATTAAATACAAAAATTAGTAAGGGAGGGCTGGGAATATGGCGTAGTGGTAGAGTGCTTGCCTCACACGCATGAGGGATTGATTCCTCAGTAACACATATACTGAAAAAGGCAGAAGTGGCGCTGTGGATCATGTGGTAGAGTGCTAGCCTTGAGCCAAAAAGCTCAGGGACAGTGGCTGGTCTCTGAGTTCAAGCTCCAGGATTGGCCAAAAAAGAAAAAGAAAAGAAAATTAGTAAGGGACCTCTCTGAGTACCTCGCAGAAAATTATTTTCAGGGCTTACCCTTAAATGCCACACGTGTGTGTGTGTGTGTGTGTGTGTGTGTGTGTGTACATACTGGGGCTTGAATTCAGGTCCTGGGTGCTGTCTCAGCATTTTCGTTCAAGGCTAGCACTCTACCACTTGAGCCACAATTCCACTTCTAGCTTTGTAGTAGTTAATTAGAGATAACAGTTTTGTAGATTTTCCAGACCAACATGGTTTTGAACCTTGATTCTTACATCTTGGCTTCCTGAGTAGCTAGGATTAGAGGCCTGAGGGGAATACTTAGAGTCTGACACAAAGTGTTGCTGCCAGTAGTTATATATTGTTAATTTCTTTTTTCTGATAGGACTAATTCTTTTCATTATACTCACATGGCAAAACCTTTCATATCTTCCCAAATAAGTCAAAGCTGAGTCTGATAAATGCATAACAGAATAAGCCAATCAGATCAGAAAGTATGCTGATTATCATTCTAAATATCAAATCTATATAACTTACATAAAAATATTTCTCAGGCTGGGAAGGTGGCTCAGTGGTAGAGCGCTTGTCTTGCATGCATGAGACCCTGGGTTAGATTCCTCAGCACCACATAAGCAAAAAGAAAAAAGCCGGAAGTGGCGCTGTGGCTCAAGTGGTAGAGCGCTAGCCTTGAGCTAAAGAGCTGAGGGACAGCGCCCAGGCCCAGAGTTCAGGCCCCATAACCGGACCCCCCAAAAAAAATTCTCTAAGCTGTAGTATTATGACTACAAAATGCATAAGGTTATTTTAAAATTACTTTCTTGGGCTGGGAAGGTCGCTCAGTGGTAGAGTGCTAGCCTTGAGCTGAAGAGCTGAGGGACAGCACCCAGGCCCAGAGTTCAAGCCCCATGACTGACAAAAAAACAAACAAAAACAAAAAATAAAACCAAACAACTACTTTCCTCCCACCTCCAACTTAAGTCTTCCCAAAAATTTTGTCTAACGTAGACAGGGCCTATGTGCTGACCCTGAGTTTCTTTTATTCAAGGCTAGCACTCTACTACTTGAGCCATAGCTCCATTTCTGGCTTTTTGGTGGTTAATTTTAGGTAAGAGTCTTAACTGCCTAGCAGGCGTCAAAAACATGATCTTCAGATCTCAGGCTCCCATGTAGCTGAGATTACAGGTATGAGCCTCATAACCTGGGAATATCTTTTTCTTTTTTGCCAGTCCTGGGCACTGTCCCTGAGCTTCTTTTTGCTCAAGACTAGCACTCTACCACTTGAGCCATGGTGCCATTTTGCCTTTTGTGTCTAGACAGTATTGAGGAATCAAACCCAGGGCTTTGTGTATGCTAGGCAAGCACTTTACCTCTACCACTAAGCCACATTCCCAGCCCCTAGGAACATCTTTTTTTGTTGTTGGTCATGGGGCTTGAACTCTGGGCCTGGACACTGTCCCTCAGCTCTTCAGCTCAAGGTGAGCACGCTACCACTTGAGCCACAGCACCACTTCCAGTTTTCTAGTGATTTATTGGAGATAAGAATCTCACAGACTTTCCTGCCCGGGCTGGCTTTGAACCACAATCCTCAAATCTCAGCCTCCTAAGTAGCTAAGATTACAGGTGTGAGCCACCATTGCCCAGCATATCTTCTTAGTTACAACATATAATGCATGTAAAATGAAAATAGTGATTGGAATCCCCAGACACCCAACAACTATTTTTCTTCCTGTTTTAAGAATTGGTAAGCCGGGCGCTGGTGGCTCACGCCTGTAATCCTAGCTACTCAGGAGGCTGAGATCTGAGGATTGTGGTTCAAAGCCAGCCCGGGCAGGAGAGACTATGAGACTCCTATCTCCAATAAACCACCAGAAAGCCGGAAGTGGCACTGTAGCTCAAGTGGTAGAGCGCTCGCCTTGAGCTG